CAGCATACATTACAATTTTGTTTTTAAAAAGCAAGAATGTTAATAAAAAAATAAATAAATGGAATAAAGAAGAAACAATAAAACAGATACAAGTTCATGGTCACATTTATATCGTTTTCTAGGATCGAGATGTCAGACTGATATTAACGAATGTACTAGCAGTCCATGCTACAATGGTGGTGCATGCGTCGATCACGTGAACCGATATACATGTACTTGTCAAAATGGCTACACAGGTAAATACGTAATTCTACTTTTCTTGATATTACCTAATTATATGTTAGAACAATATCTGTATTATAATAATGCCATTATTTCCTTTTCTAGGATCGAGATGTCAGTTTGATATTAACGAATGTGCTAGTAGTCCATGCTACAATGGTGGTACATGCGTCGATCACGTGAACGGATATGAATGTACATGTCAAGATGGCTACGCAGGTAAACACGTGTTTCTATTTATATTGATATTAACGATGATCTGTTGAAACGTATGTTATATATCAGTGTCATTATTTCGTTATCTAGGATCGAGATGTCAGACCCATATTAACGAATGTACCAGCAGCCCTTGCGACAATGGCGGTACATGCGTCGATCACGTGGACAGATATGAATGTACATGTCAAGATGGCTACACAGGTAAACACGTGTGTTTGTTTTCCCTGATACCACCACAGTGGTGAAAGTGTGTCATATATCATTATCATAATTCCCGTTTTAAAAGTTCGAGATTCCATACTTTTAAAACGGGGGAGTCGTAACCTGCGCATGCGTCAGGTGGCCATAGCGTGTCATTGTTTACTAACAAGCGTCTACCCATGAGCCTCTGTGTTTTTAGCGTGTGTTGTTATCGTAGCTTGGGACTCAATTCTCTCGCGAGCGCAGGTGATGACTCTCCCGCTTTTATAACAAGTGTGCTGGTAGTCCATATTAAAGCGCGGTAGTCGTCGCGCTGCGCGTGTGTGATATTTGTGTTGATAAACATTGATTTTCCCACAATCCAATGCGCTCTTCAAATGGAAATCACAAGTATGAGGTTTGACCTTGGCGCGACTTGCACTGATTGCCGCCGGTAACTCCTTCGATACCTTCCAATAACATGAAAATTACTTAATTAAAGATTGGAAACGTTTCAGTTCGTACTCGTTGATCTGCGCAACAGTCAAAGTCGCCATCTTCGTTTATATGAGACCCATATATCTCGCACATGCGCAGCGCGACGACTATCGCGCTTTAAAAATCTGTAGGTCATGTGAGCCAGTATAAATGTACATGTCAAGGCTACACGTGTAACACATCCTTGATGTCATCATTTACTCTATTGAAATAAAGTCGTATAAAATCATCAATATTTCTATTTTCTAGGATTGAGATGCCAGACTGATGTAAACGAATGTGCCAGCAGTCCATGCAACAATGGTGGTACATGCGTCGATCACGTGAACCGATACGAATGCAGATGTGTTGGTGGATATTCAGGTAATTTGTCAATTAAAGTGGAAGCCTTCGTCACCTGCGCATGCGTCAGATGGCCATAGCGTGTCATTGTATACAAACAAGCGCTTACCCATAAGCTATTGCGTGTTTAGCGTGTGCTGTTATCGTCGTTCAGTCGTGACACAATTCCCACGCGTGCGCAGGTGACGATCCTCTTGCTTTAACATTGGACCGGAAATGGCCCTGAGTGACGTAAATGTTGTGAACATATCTTGTTGCGTCAGAAATAACCAAGTCTTTTAGAAGATGTTACTCTGGGCTGGATAACAATAAATCAGTCAACGTGTAAACAGGGTATTAAAGCGGGAGGGTCGTCCCAAGCGATGATAACAACACACGCTAAACACGCAAAGGCTCATGGGCAGGCGCTTGATTGTAAACAATGACACGCTGTGGTCACCTGACGCATGCGCAGGTGACGACACACCCGCTTTACGTACTAGTAGTAGTAACTGGAGGTTTGCGCTGTTATAACATAACATATATACTACTTTTTATTTATGTTTACCATCGGA